CAAATTCTCTTTATAAATAACTAAGGGCCTCAGACACACTCCCTAGCGGCAGGGGTAGGGGAACCTTTATCTACACCTACCCCTTCAAACACCTAAAATCCCCCAACTTTCCACATTACTCCCTTTAAACCCCCCTACAAAACTTGATTACCAAACGGATCCTCTACAAATAAATATACACGGTTCTTAAGAGGGAGGGGTTTTTATTCACACTTGTCGTGCCCCTCCCCCCCCCCCCCCGCCACGGCTGGATATCTGTGTTTCTGCCCTCTCGTCCCTCTGACCGCATACATGCAGGGTACGTCCGAGGGGTGTGTGTGTGTGTGTGTGTGTGTGTGATGACTCCCTCCACCTCACCCCACCCATGGCCCACCCCCACCTCGGAAATGTTGCCTTGACCCCATGGGGCAGACTCCTCAGTCACCAAAACACACAGCCATGTCCTTGGGGCTCTCTGGGGGTCTTGGGTCCTAAAAGTCACACACACGCGCACACGCACGCACACGGCTTCACTCTTCTGCCTTGCGCCCTTGAGTCTGGAGCCGGGGTTGGGGGGGGGCTTCCCGGGGACCAGTCCTTTAGCACAAATCTGTAAGGCGCCTACTGTGTGCCCGGCGCACCCCTGCCCTGCCTGAAGCGGAGACAGCCGTCCGTGTAAGTTGCAGGGGGCTTTATCTCAGACAGGTGCGCACAAAGCGCAGGGAAGCAAGGCAAGAACGCGGGGCCACCAGGGCAGACGGTGGGTGAGGGCTTCTGCGTGCGCATGCGTGTGAATGTGAACCGCCACCCCACCCCAGGGCGTCTCCAGCTGGCCACAGACCTCCCCACTCCCTGTGGCTGCCCTGGGCTGGTCACACACAGGCGTGTATTTCCTGGTCTCTTTTTTATCACCCCCTCAGCAGAGGCACTGAAACTGGTGACCCCAGGGCCCCCTGCACGGGACCCTGTGCATACTGACTGCGTGTAGGGCATTGCAGCCCGGAGGCGTTTAGCACTCATTTGGGGTGATTGTGTGACAGCACCTACCCTAAGGCTGCACAGGACCGCCAAGTGAGTAGACGATGTCCTAGAGAAAACCAGACAGCTGTGGGTTACAGCCATGCAGGAAGACTTCCTGGAGGAGGTGACATTCAGACAGGCTACTGAGTGATAACTGAGATTATGATGAACTAGACTGGGCTGGAGGCTGAGATACACATATTTCTCTTCAAAGATTTATTTATTTATTTTTAAAGATTTATTTATTTAAAAGGCAGAGTTACAGAGAGGCAGAGGGAGGGAGAGAGAGAGAGAGAAAGAGAGATCTTCCATCCGCTGGTTCACTCCCCAGGTGGCTGAAATGGTCAGAGCTGCACCGATCTGAAACCAGAAGCCAGGAGCTTCTTCTGGGTCTCCCACACACGTCCAGGGTCCCAAGAACTTGGGCCATCTTCCGTTGCTTTCCTAGGCCATGGCAGAGAGCTGGATCAGAAGAGGAACAGCCAGGTCTCGAACCGCTGTCCATATCGGATGCCGGCACTGCAGGCGGCAGCTTTACCTCCTATGCCATGGTGCCGGCCCCTATTTATTTATTTGAAAGGTAGACCTACAGAGAAAGGGAGGAGAGAGAGAGAGAGAGAGAGAGAGAGAGAGAGGGTGGGCGGGCTTCCATCCGCTGGTTCACGCCCCCAGGAGGCCACAATAACTGAGACTGGGCCAGGCCGATGCCAGGAGCCTGGAACTCTATGCAGTTCTCCCACGTGGGTGGCAGGGGCCCAGGCTTGTTAGCAGTGAGCTGGTTCGGAAGTGGAGCAGCCAGGATGCTAACTGATGTCCCAAGTGGCAGCCCAACCCACTGTGCTACAAGAAGGATTCCTGGGAGAGGCCGCCAAAGCCCAGGGGCGTTCTATGGGCAGCCAGCGCTGGGGCCCTGAACCATGCTACACGCTCTCTGTGCAAGGGGTGTGCAGTGGGCCAGGGCTGGGGAGGCCCCTCCCCCTGCCCCCTCCTCAGTTTCCAGTGCAGCTGCCCACCTACCCACCCACAGACTCCCAGCGGGCCCAGGAGGAGGTGTGATTGGGGGGGGGAGGCTGCAGGGCACCCAGCACCGTGCCTGGGACACAGCGGCTCCTGTTCCTCTTCTGGCCGCTGAGCGAGCCCCTCCCCTTTGGGCCTGCTGGGAAATCCCCTCTGTACACAGAACTGTGTGCAGGCAAAGCAGCTCATTCCCCCAGAGGCTTGGCAACGCAGCCTGGCCAGCAGAGATGGGAACAGGCTTGTCTGCTGTGCCAGGGGTCTGCGCGGGTGTCAGCAGGGGCTCCAAGGCAGGCCTCCTAGGGCTTGAGAGGCCGTGAGGTCCAGGCTGTGAGCTGTGCCTAACAGGGCGTCCCCTCCCAGCCGGGCTGCAGTGGGCAGGGGCTGTTCACCGGGAGCCCAGAGCAGACTCCGCCTTCGAGGGAGCTGGAACTCCTGGGGCCATGTGGGGAGGGTACAGGCGAGGGAGACCTGGCCAGACAGGTGACCATGACCGTGGGGAGGGAGTTGGGGCATGGGGCAGGTTGGGGGGTGGGGGAAGATAAGCCAGGCTCACTCCATTCGGAGCTCCTGCTGGAGGCCTCGGATTCGGGTCAGACCTTAGCAGCCCACGCCCAGAAAAATAAATGAGAATGGAGCACGCATATGCACACACACACACACACACACACACCTGCCCTGTGCAATCCAAAATAAAGCGTTATTTTAGGAACTGACACAACTTCCAGGCTTCCTAAAATTAAACTGCTTCCTCCTGGATTTTGTGATTGCAAAACATGTCCACCAGCCTGGGCCCTCCGTCCGCTCCCTCGGCGCTTTGCGCACCTGCCCAGTGAGGACGACTTTGGCCCTTCTTGACCCCGCCACGTCTCTCCTGTCCCCAGCAGCCACTTCTCTCAGCCTTGCGGAAACCTCGCTCCCACGGGCCCCGCCTTAGACTCCCAGCCACACAGCAACGGGGCAGGCACAGGCCCTGCCGGAGGCGCGTTCCAATGTGGACAGGACACAGAGGGCACGTCAATAGGACAGACCAGCGCCAAACAGGCGTGTGAAACCAATCAATGAGTGAGTGAATGCTAAACACTCGCTAACACAGCACGTGAGGCCTGGGGGAGGGCTTTGAGTTTCTTTTGTGCCTTCCCACACGGAAGGCTTCAAGGAGGCGGTGAGGTCTTAGGGACGTCTCTGTTCTTGCCACATCTCTGGCTGGAAAGGAAGGGCAGGGATCATGTCCCAGTTTGGGCAGAGCTGGAGTCGGAAGCCCAGAGAGGGAAAGTGACTCCTTCAAGGTCACACAGCACATCCGTGACAGAGCTGGAGCTAAAAACAGATCTGTCGGGTGCTGGTCAGGTGCTCCGGTCACCGGATTCCCCCTCGTCCCCTGCAGCCTGCGCAGCGCCGGGCGGGGTTCTGTCCTCAGCTGCCCCTCAGTGACATGCATGCCTGGAGGTGAGCACATGGGACAGAAAGCCAGGAGAAGCAGCCCCTGTGCCCTCCACCTGTATTCCCCCCAGCTGCCTGGTGGCCAGAGGCGGTTGCCAGCCGTGCCCTGAATCCTGACACCGGGGTCAGGAGCCTTGCAATCTGTGGCTTCCCTGGGACTCACCTCCAGGGGTTGAACGTGCTGGTTGCTGAGGCCTCCGTCCAGGAGGTGAGCAGAGGCTGCCCGAGACATGCCCGGCCTTTTCCTGGACAGCCACATTTTAAGCCCCACACACACTAACTCTGGGGGGTGCTCGCCCCATCTTACAGACAGGGAGGCTGAGGCCCAGAGACGTGAAGTCACTGACCCAAGATCACACAGCTGGTAAATGGCAGAGCTGGGCTTCAAACCCAGGCAGTCCGGTTCCAGAAGCCGTGCTCTTAATCGCCAGCTCTCAAAGAGGCAAACGCTGAAGCCCTGGCTGTGCACAGGAGGATCTCGCATACCTTATCTCATTTAGGTACTCTGTTTTATGTTTGTTTATTTTTATCTACTTGAAAGGGAGAGAGAGAGAGAGAGAGAGAGAGAGAGAGAGAGAGAGAGATCCATCTTGCATCTGCTGAATCACCCCACCCCCACCCCCCCAGCAATGCCTGCAACAGCCAGGGCTGGGCCAGGCCAAAGCCAGGAGCCAGGAACTCCATCCAGGCCTCCCACGTGGGTGGCAGGGGCCCAAGTACTTGAGCCATTGCCTGCTGCCTCCCAGGGTGCACGTTAGCAGGAAGCTGGGTTGGAAACGGAGCAGCAAGGACATGACCTGGTGCTGTGCTATGGGATGGGGCATCCCACTGTGCCAAGACACCCGTTCCTCATTTAGGTACTCTTATTCCCATAGTACAGGTGGTAAAACGAAGGCCCAGTGGGTCATCTGGGGAGAACGCTCTCAAAGTATAACAGGAGGCCATTTGAGGTTGTCCTTGGGGTGTCTGCCCCCACGGCATGGACACCATCGCCACCTGGTGGCAGTGTACCTTAAGTGCAAGCAGGGTGCCTAAGCAGAGGCTTTGTGTGTTAAGTTCAACATATGCTATTCTTTTTTTTATTTTTATTTATTTTTTTTACAGGCCAAGTGGACAATGAGAGAGAGAGAGAGAAAGATCTTCCTTTGCCGTTGGTTCACCCTCCAATGGCCGCCGCGGCCGGCGTGCTGTGGTCGGCGCACCGCGCTGATCCGAAGGCAAGAGCCAGGTGCTTCTCCTCCTCTCCCATGGGGTGCAGGGCCCAAGCACTTGGGCCATCCTCCACTGCACTCCCTGGCCACAGCACAGAGCTGGCCTGGAAGAGGGGCAACCAGGACAGAATCCGGCGCCCCAACCGGGTCTAGAACCCGGTGTGTCGGCGCCGCAAGGCGGAGGATTAGCCTGTTGAGCTGTGGCGCCGGCCTCTCTCTGCCTTTCAAATAGAGATGATAGATAGACAGATAGATAGATAGACAGACAGACAGACAGACAGGCAGATAGATAATAACTTTGAAGAAAACGAGCACCAAGGAGAGACAAGGAGGTAGGACTTCGGGGACCTGGGCACACAGCTCCTGATGGTGGATTTTGCTGAAGGCTGCACCAAGGGGGCCTGGTGGGGCCTCTGCCTTCTCTGCCCATCTGAACACCAACGAGCAGCAGAAACTCAGCAAAGCACTGGGCCCCCGTGGAAGCTGCCTGCCCAGGAATCCTCCCTCTGTTACACGAACCACCCTGCACTAAGCCATCGCACACAACCGTGCCGGTTCTCGCTGCTGACCCTGCTCAGCTGGAGGTGCTACTGACTTAGGAGCCACCTGTGTTGCCTCTGATTGCGGCTGGACCAGAGTCTCTCAGAGGCCTGCTGGGTGGAAGTCTCGCGGGGCTGTCTGTCTGTCTCTCACCTGCCAGTGGCCAGGGGTCTGATTCCAGGAGCGCCCTCCAGAGGCAGGGGGCAGAAGCCGCAGGCTGCGGAACCACGCACCTTCACGTCTGCCCGCCACTTCCTGTTGGTCAAAGCAGCCACAGCGCAACCGGGTGGACGCGGCAGCCTGGCCGAGCTCTGGCTGTTGCATCTGGGGAGTGAACCAGTAGCTGGAAGTTTCTTCTCTCTCTGTCACTCTACGTTTCAAATACAATGAAAATTAGTAAGCAAGTTTTTTCAAAAAAAGAAGAACCAAATGTATGCAGAAGACCTTGGAAAACAAAAAGTCAAAACACTACAGATTGTCCTCCTCCCCAAGTACGAGTTTTGAGAAGAACATTCCAGGGGCCGGGGCTGTGGTGTACTGGGTAAAGCTGCTGCCTGCAGTGCTGGCATCCCATATGGACACCGGTTCAAGTCCTGGCTGCTCCACTTCTGTTCCAGCTCCCTGTTAATGTGCCTGGGAAGGCAGCAGAAGATAGCCCAAGTCCTTGGGCCCCTATAGCCTTGTGGGAGACCTGGAGAAAGCTCCAGGCTCTTGGCTCCTGCCATTGTGGTCATTTAGGGAGTGAACCAGGAGATGGAAGGACCCCCCCTCCCCCACCTCAGCCTCTCTCTAACTCTGCCTTTCAAATAAATAAATAAATCTTAAAAAAAAAATAAAGTTAAGAGTTCAATGTGAATTCCGGACAAGCATGGGAGACCAGGATAAGTACTGGCTCCTGCCATCGGATCAGCGCGGTGCGCCAGCCGCGCAGCCATTGGAAGGTGAACCAACGGCAAAGGAAGACCTTTCTCTCTGTCTTTCTCTCTCACTGTCCACTCTGCCTGTCAAAAAATAAAAAAATTTAAAAAAAATTTATTAAAAATAAAGGCAGAGACAGAGATCATCCATCTGCTGTTTGTCTCCCGAGATGTCTACAACAGTCAGGACTGGGCCAGACCGAAGCCAGGAGCCTGGAACCCCATCCAGGTCTCCCGCATGGACAGCAGTGACCCAGGTACCTGAGCCATCACCTGCTGCTGCCCTGGGTTCACCTTGGCAGGAAGCTGGGTTCAGGAGCAGAGTGGGGGCTGGACCCCAGCACTGCAACACGAAACGTAGTGTCTTACCCACTGTGCCAAATGCCTGGACACAGCACACTTTTTGAAATTAATTGTCTATCTATTTGAAAGACAGAGACAGAGATCTTCCATCTGCCCGTTCATCTCCTAAATGGCCACAACGGCTGGGGCTGGGACAGGTCTGAGCCAGGAGCCAGGAATTCAATCAAGGTCTCCCATATGGGTGGCAGAGGCTCAGCCGCTGAGCCGTCCTCTGCTGCCTCCCAGGGTGCGCATTAGCAGGGAGCTGGAATCGGAAGTGGAGCCAGGACTCCAACTCAGGCACTGTAGTATGGGAGGCGGGCGTCCCCAGAGGTGTCAGGGTGTCTTTCTTTCTCTTTCTTTCCTTCCTTCTTCCTTCTTTCCTTCCTTCCTTCTTTCCTTCCTTCCTTCCTTCCTTCCTTCCTTTCTTCTTTTTCTTTTTTTTAGATTTATTTGTCTTAGTTTGAAGAGACATATAGAGAGAGAAAGAGTGATCTTCCATCTGCTGGTTCACTCCCCAGATGGCCACAATGGCCAGGACTGGGCCAAGCTGAAGCCAGGACACAGGAGCTTCTTCCAGGTCCCCCACAGGGGTTCAGGGGCCCAAACACTTGGACCATCTTTTGTTGCTTTTCCCAGGCCATTAGCAGAGAGCTGGATTGGAAGTGGAGCAGCCAGGACACGAACCTGCACCCGTATGGGACGCCGGCGTTGCAAGCAGCAGCTTTACCTGCTACACCACGTCATCTGCACCAGAGGTCTGTTAATTACTGCATCAAAAGCCTGCCCTTGGCCTCTCCGTCTGCCCTGGTCTGGGTGGCACCATCAGCGCACTTCCCAGTGGTGTTGGCCACGTACTCTGCCATGCTAAGCCGTGCATCACCCCCTGCTGACGTCAGTTAAACACTGACACTCAGGCTGCCTGACTCCCTGCAATGCGGGGAGCTCCAGGGAGCTAGGCTCGCCCTCCGCGTGCAGGGGGCGGGCTCGGCCCACGTTTGGGGACTGTACCATTCTCAGTCCTGGGTCCTTCTTCTCTCTCTCTCTTACTCACACAGCTCAGGATTTTGCTCATGGACTAAGAGACAAATTCAGACCATTGGCATTCTACCCACGCCACACTTGAGTCCTTCATCCGCTGGGAGTGTGAGGACCCACTGTGGTCCCGGCACCATCCTGGGTGCTGGGAATATGGCTGTGAACAAGACGGGTGAAATCTCTGCGCTCCTGCGGCCCATGAGCCCGGGAAGGAAGACAGATGGGAGCAGATAAATACGACTGCTGGGCGGCGACGTGCTGTGAGGACTAGTGGGGGACTGGGCAGGTGGAGACAAATAGAAGACATTCCTTCTGCTGGGGAGGCAGTGAATGTTCCCAAGAGACCATCCACACAAAAATGGGCCAGAGAATCAAAATGTCCAGAAAAAACCATATCTCAATGACTGATTGCATAATGGCCACAAAGAAAACCCACAATTACATAGCTTTAACCAGTGAAATTTTGTATGTATTCTCCCCCTAAAAAAAACTCAGTAAGCCATGCAGCCCCCCTAAAAAAGAGTCAGTAAGTCATGTGGGATTTTTTTAAAGTATTAGGAAATAATCCATCCTAATGATTATTATCTCAGCAAAGTAAAAAACAAAATAGGGGCCAGTGTGGTGGACAAGTGGGGTAAGCCCCACCTGTGGCATCCCATATGGGTGCCGGTTCAAGTCCCAGCTACTCCAGTTCCAATCTAGCTCCCTGCTATGCCCTGGGGAAGCAGCAGAAGATGGCCCCTGCCACCTGTGTGGGAAGCCTGGAAGAAGCTCCTGGCTCCTAGCTTCAGATCAGCTCAGCTCTGGTCATTGTGACCATTTGGGGAGTGAAACAGTGGATGGAAAACCTCTCTCTCTCTCTCTCTCTCTCTCACTTTCTCTGTAACTCTGTCTTTCGAATAAATAAACACATCTCTAAAAAAAAAAAGAAAGAAATTAAAACACGTGCTGCATGATAGAAAGCAACCCAAGGCTGAGCCAGCCAGGGAGGGTGACTCTGAGGGCACGGAGACTCTGTGATGCTGATGAGGGCCCCGGCCAAGAACTGGGTTCCCAAGGCCATTGTGTGGGGTGCAGAGAAAACCCACCACTCAGCCTTGGTGTTTTAATGTGGGTGGCGTCAGGCTCACCCTGAAACCTGAAAAAAGAAAATTAGTCAAGGGATCATCTCGTCAATACTTCCCATTCCACAGAGTCTTTTCTCAATGGAAACTGATACAGGAAGCACAAACAGCTGACATCTTCCGATAAAGATGGAGTCGGTTGGCAAATCCGTAGCAGCAGAAGTGGTTGCCAGGGGCTGGGGGAGGGGAGGGGGTCACTGCTAAACAGGATGGAACGTCTGTTGGGGGTGATGGGAATGTTCTGGAACTAGATGGTGATGATGGTAGCACGACATTCTGAATGCCCCCGATACCACTGAATTGTCCACTTTAAAATGGTGAATTTTGGGGCCAGTGCTGTGGGACAGTGAGTTAACACCCTGGCCTACAGCACCAGCATCCCCTATGGGCATCCATTCGAGTCCCAGCTGCTCGAGAGACAGAGAGAGAGGTCTTCCTGGTTCACTCCCCAAAAGGCCGCAACAGCTGGAGCTGAGCCGATCTGAAACCAGGAGCCAGGAGCTTCCTCTGGGTCTCCCACATGGGTGCAGGGGCCCAAGGACTTGGGCCATCTTCCACTGCTTTCCCAGGGCATAGCAGAGAGCTGGATCAGAAGTGGAGCAGCAAGGACTTGAACTGGTGCCCATATGGGATGGCGGTGCCACAGGCAGCAGCTTAACCTGCTATGCCACAGCGCCAACACCACCACCCCTTAGTATCCTATGGCATAAAAAAAATCCAATTTATCTATTTAAAAATAATCCACTTTATTCTTTTCTTTACTTGTCTGTGCTTTTGGCATCATATCCAAGATCCATCATATCCAGATCCAGTGTCGTGAAGGCCCCCTGTGTTTCTTTCTGAGGGTCTTACAACTTATCTCTTGCATTTCAGTCCTTGAGCTGCTGAGTTAATTTGCACATGTTGTGTGGGTAAGTGTTCAGCTTCAGTCTTTGGCGTGGGGCTATTCAGTTTTCCCAGCCCTGTCTTCAGCAGAGATCGCCCTTCTCTCCTTGTGAGTCTTGGCATCCTTGTCACAAGTCCTTTGGTCCCACATGGGAGGGCTTCCTTCCTGGCTCTCTAATCTGGTCCCCTGGTCTGCAAGTCTGTCCTTGTGCCAGTACCACCCCGTCTCGGTTGTTACTTTGTAGTACGTTTTGATTTTGTTTTTATTTATTATTTAAAAGATTTATTTATTTGAAAGTCAGAGTTACACAGAGAGAGAAGAGGCAGAGAGAGAGAGAGAGGAGAGAGAGAGAGGGAGAGAGGTCTTCCATCCTCTGGTTCACTCCCCAAATGGCCACAATGGCCAGAGCTGAGCCAATCCGAAGCCAGGAGCCAGGAGCTTCTTCCGGATTTCCCACGCAGGTGCAGGGGCCCAAAGACTTGGGCCATCTTCTGCTGCTTTCCTAGGCCACAGCAGAGAGCTGGATCAGAAGTGGAGTAGCCAGGACTCAAACTGGCGCCCGTGTGGGATGCTAGCACTGCAGGCGGCAGCCTTACCAGCTTTGCCACAGTTCCAGCCCCTACGTATTTATTTTCCATCTGTACTTTGTGCTCCTTCTGTAGCACTAAGTTAGAAACCAGGAAGTGTGTGTTTCCAGCTTTGTTCTTCTTTTCCAATACAGTTTTCTCCCTTTGGGGTGCCCTGAGATCCCGTGTAGACGGCGTGGTGCGACTCTGGGTAAGGCACGGGGCCAGGACTTTGAAAGGCGCTGCACCAGCTCCGCCGGCTGTATTGGGCAGCCCCTCTCTGAGGCCAGGAAAATTCCAGCTGCATGCTGGCCACATCAGAGTGAGCCACGCAGTGTGGATGTGGTGGCTTCTCCACGGACAGCGGCAATCACCATGCCGCCTCCTCGAGGGCACGCCTTCGTCCTGGGGAGCCGGCGCTCTTCGGTGGCAGGGGAGCTGGGCACACCGGGCGGAAAGCGGCTCTCAGTCTTGCCTTGGTCCTCTGCCGTGGGCTCATGTGCCACACAGCTCCCTCCACAGCGGCCCTAATGGCAGGTGGGCTGCAGAAGCGCCAAGTCCCACCTGCCCCCGGCAGACTCTATCCCTGCTACTCCCCGCCCCTCCCCCACAACGGAGAGGCCGAGGCGGAGCTCTTCTGAGCACACCCTGAACTCAAAGGAGGAAGAAAAGCGACAGCCTGGACTGCGGACCTGTTCCACGCAGAGCCCCCGGCCCCTCCTCCGAAGCTGCACCCCTCCTTGTTCAGATTCCAGCACCTGCCTCCAGCCGAGACCCTCGGCCCCTCCTGCCCAGCCTGGCTGGCACGGGATGGCAGAGAGGGCTGCAGAGCTGTGGACCGTGAAGGTGAGCTCCTGGGGCAACACAGACCCCGCCTCCCATCTGCCGTCAGGGAGCCGTGGGCAGGGTCGCAGGTGTGTCAGCCCTGCTTGCTGTTAGTGGAGCCGTTGCTGTGTGAGTCCTTGTGAGGGGACAGGACAGGAAGCTGTGGCTCGTGACTCTAGAGCTGAGCGGTTCGCAGACTGTGTCTGGATGCTGTGTACGGAACCGCGTATTCACAATAAGAGTACCAGCAGTGGGCTTGCCAGAGCCGCAGCTCCCAGACCCAGGCCACTCACTCGTCTGGCTCCCTCCCTCCCACAGCATGCTTGGGGGCTTCCTGGCACAGCCCAGCCCCCCTCCACCAGAGAGCACAGCGAGGAGCACAGGCCTTGGTGCCCTGCAGCAGGCCCCACACCACACATCCTGAAGGCCATTTTCATCTTCCAGTCCCTGCCACCGTCCCTAGTCTACAGGCGAGGCCCTAGCATGCCTTGCCCAGATTTCACTGTTCCTAACAACCTGTGGCCAGAGCAGTCTTGACCACCTGTCTTAGCTCCCCCTCCCTTTTTGCTGGTTCCTTTGTGGTACACCCACGGTGGTCCCCAAAGATGCCAGGTGTGGACCTGTGACCAGGTTGGTCAGATGGTAAGGAACCTACCAGATGTGATTAAGTTGAGGATCTTGAGATGGGGGGGGTGGTTTTCCCAGATTATCTGAGTGGGACCAATGGCATCACAAGTGTCCTTTTAAAAGGGGAAGGGGGGGGGTGGCGCTGTGCTTAGTGGGTAAAGCCACCGCCTGCAGTACCTGCATCCCATATGGGTGCCAGTTCTAGTCCTGGCTGCTCCACTTCCAATTTGGCTCTCTGCTGTGGCTTGGGAAAGCAGTAGAAGATGGCCCAAGTCCTTGGGCCCCTGAGCCCATATGGGAGACCTGGAAGAAGCTCCAGGTTCCTGGCTTTGAATCAGCCCAGCTGGAGCCGTTGAGACCAACTCGGGAGTGAACCAGCGGATGGAAGACCCCTTTCTCTCTCTCTCTCTCTCTCTCCCTTTCTGTAACTGCCTTTCAAATAAATAAGTCATAAAGAAAGAAAGCAGAAAACAGAATCACCTGAAGAGGGCTGGCATTTGGTGCAGCAGAGGGTTTATGGAAGATGCAGTTTGGGTGTTTGGCCTGGTGATTAAGTTGCTGGTGGCATGTCCACATTCCCCATCAAAGTGCCCTGGCTTCGATGCATGGCCCCTGCTCCTGACTGCAGCTTCCGGCCAGTGCAGACCCTGGGAGGCAACAGAAGATGGCGCAGGTGCATGGCCCCTGCCACCCATGGGAGAGACCTGTATTGTGTTCCTGGCTCCCAGCTTTGGCCCTGAGCCAGCCCCAGCCATTGCAGGCATGGGGGAGGGGGGTGAACCAGCAGATGGGAGCTATGTCTGTCTCTATCTGTGTCATTTTTTCTGTTTAGCAAATAATTATGAATTAACGATATATATTTTTAAATAAAAATAAAACACAGTCTCCCACGCCTCCACTTCTGGTGAAGCCCAGGAAGTTGCTATTTTTAAAAGCTCTCGGATGGAACCTGACTGCCCTTGGAGAAACAGAGCTCCAAGACGCTTCCCAATGCAATGACACAGAGTGCAGGGGACTGAGCCCTGAGATGCTACAAGCCGGGAGCCCTGGGAGGAGATGCAGCCCCTCCTGGCTCCTCCCACGCCTTCCCACCCAAGGCGGCTCATGAGGAGCAAAGATAGAGTCCAGAGTCCAGAGTCTGCCGGGGGCGCTCCGTGCCCCTTCTGAAGGCGGAATGGAACCGCCTGTGAGAAGTCAGACCTTCACCTTGAAGGGAGCAAGGCGACCACAGAAGACGGCTGGACACAGCTCAGGGCCTGCTCAATCTGCAAAAATCCGCTCCGGTGGCTGAGGACGTGGGAGCGCCATCTGGCATCTCGCAGCCAGCCCCTGACGCCAAGCTGAGCATCAGAGAGGAAAACGGTCTGTCCTTTCCCCCACCAGAATGTCAAGGCCCCGGGCGGCGGCCCCTCCCCACGGGCACGTGGAGCCGCAGCCGCGGGTGGGGGGGGGGCTCAGCCCGTGCGTGGGGGATCAGCGAGGGGGCGACGAAAATGACTCTGGGGGTGAGCCTGGCATGGCGAGTGACCCGTCCGTGGGCTGCGGAGTGTGGTGCCCAGCAGCGAGGACCTTGGGGCCAGAGGGGAGGGAGGGGCTGCGGGCTGCGCACGCACCCACCGGCGGTATTTACGGCGCCGAGGGCGAGGGCGGACTGGTGCTTTCGTCCTGCTCCATCTGGCCCGCCCTGGCCGGGCTCCCAGCCTGACTCACCGCCGGCAGGGCCCGTCTGTCCTGCCAGCCCTCGGAGGGCTGCGAGTGATGGGGCGGGAGGGGAGGTGGGAGCCAGGTCCCTGCTAGAGAGCAGGGCCTGCGCTAGCCCTCTTGCCCCCGGAGGGTGGAGAATCCTGGCGCGGAAAGCACCGCCCACCCATCCTTTGGACAGTGAGTGAAACTGTGTCAGCCAAGGCAAGTTTCCTAGGCAGCAGGATGGCACCTGCTTCGGCTCAGACCAGCCTGAGCTAGAATTTCCCCATTTGGCGCCATCGGTGCCCCTTCCCCTGGGCACCTGCTGCTCTTCCCTGCAGGAGCTGGGGTGTGTCTCCCTCACCTTGAACGCAGGTGGGGTTTGTGTCTTGCTTTGATCACCAGAAAGCAGAGATGACAGCTCCACACCGGATATAGGAGACCTGGCAGCTTCCACTCCTGTGTTCCCAGGGATGCCCTCAGGGAGAGAGAAGCCATGTGGGAAAAAGTTTCTGGTTCCTTGCAGCCCCTGCCAGCCACCAGCTGAGATGACCTTGGCATCACCAGAAACCACAGACAAGGTTCGCAGCACAGCTGTCAACCAGCAAAGCCTAAAACACGAGTGAGGATGAACCATTGACAGCCATAAGATTTGTGCCGGCAGCCTTCCCCTGGGGGAGAACTGGGGGGTGCAGCATCAGATGGCTGTAGAAACAAGAGCCCAGGGCCGGCGCTATGGCGTAGTGGGTAAAGCCACTGCCTGCAGTGCGGGCATCCCTTACAGGTACCGGTTCGAGTCCCAGCTGCACCACTTCCAATGCAGCTCTCTGCTATGGCCTGGGAAAGCAGTAGAAGATGGCCCAAGTCCCTGGGCCCCTGCACCCACGTGGGAGACCCGGAAAAAGCTCCTGGCTCCTGGCTTCGGATCGGCACAGCTCCAGCTGTTGCAGCCAATTGAGGAGTGAACCAGCGGATGGAAGACCTCTCTCTCTCTCTCTGCCTCTTCTTCTCTCTCTGTGTAACAGGAAGGAAGGAAGGAAGGAAGGAAGGAAGGAAGGGAGGGAGGGAGGGGGGGAGGGAGGGAGGGAGGAAGGGCATGAGCAGGCCGCCAGTATGCACAGGCAGGCAGCACTGTGGCCACATTAGGAAAAGGGGCCAAAGCAGGCGTTGCCAGTTGCCATTGGTGCAAAGGCGCTGGAATCAAGGATGGAGCTTATGCCGCTCCTGTGAATCCTTGGGACACAGCACTCTGTGGGGATGGGACCCACCCGGGACACAGCACTCTGTGGGGACGGGACCCACCCGGGACACAGCACTCTGTGGGGACGGGACCCACCCGGGACACAGCACTCTGTGGGGACAGGACCCACCCTGGGGAGAGGCTGCAGTGGAGGGACAGGAGACGTGAGGGGCAGGAGGGCCCGGGAAAAGCAGGTGTGCCCACTGTTAACTCACTGCTCCTCTGCGCCCACCTCCCACCCTTTCTTCCACATGTCAGCCAGGCTCACAAAGCACTATGCCTCTTCCTAGTTGCATCCACCAGGAAGCCTACAACAGTGGTGAACTCAGTCACACAAGGGTCCCTGGAGCGCATACTGTGGCCTTGAAATACCGTTTCCCATGAAGAGAAACTGGGGCTTCTTGGAGAGATGCTGCGTTTCAGGTTGGAGCAGAAAAGCACCAGGTAGGGGAAGAGCCTGGAGCACCTGCCCAGGCTGCTCTTCAAGACCAAGAGGGCTGGGGCCAGCGCTGCGGCAGAGTGGGCTAAGCCTCCACCTGAAGCACCGGCATCCCATATGGGTGCGGTTGGAGTCCCGGCTGCTCTCTGCTGTGGTCTGGAAAAACAATGGAAAATGGCCTGAGTACTTGGGCCCCTGCGTGGGGGGACCTGGAAGAAGCTCCTGGATACTGGCTTCAGATCTGCTCAGCTCTGCCGTTGAGGCCATTTGGTGAGTGAACCAGTGGATGGAAGACCTTTCTGTCTCTCCCGTTCTCTGTAAGTCTACCTCTCAAATAAATAAATAAAATCTAAAACAAAAACAAAAACAAACAAACAAAAACTAAGAAAGTTGTGCGCCAAGACCTGGAGAGGCTCCCATTGGGCCACGGGAGCTTTAATAAACGTAAGAGTCGTAGTGGGTTCAAATCAATCAAATAAGCTTAAATTCACAGGTCATAATGAAAATAAAAACAATCAGTTGTGGGCCCGCATTGTGGCATAGCAGGCTAAATCATCACCTGTGGTGCCAACATCCCGCATAATACTGGTTCAAATCTCGGTGGCTTTCCTTCCAATCCAGCTCCCTGCTAATGCACCTGGAAAGGCAACAGGAGATGGCCCAGTGCTTGGGCCCCTGTCACCCACACGGGAGGCCCAGATGGAGTTCCTGGTTCCTGGCTTCAGCCTGGCTCAATCCTGGCTGTTGCAGCCATGTTTGGAGTGAATCAGCGGATAGAAGATTTCTCTCTCTTTCTCCTCCCTCATCCCCCCTCTGTGTATTTAAGTAAATAAATACATCTTTAAAAAAATTGGCCATCAATTTTTAAATCTTTTTAAAAACACATAAGAGAGTGAGAGAGCGAGCCAGGAGCCACAAATTCCATCTGGGTCTCCCACGTGGGTGGTGGGGATCCAACTACTCAGACCATCTTTTGTGGTCTTCCCAGGCACATTAGCAGATAGCTGGATCAGAAGCAGAGCAGCTGGGACTTGAACAGGCGCTCCAGTATGGGATGCCAGTGTCACAGGCGGTAGCTTAACTCACTACACAACAATGCTGGTCCTCCCCCCACACATCTCATTCTTTTGAATTCGCCTTGAAATTTTGTTTCTGGGGTGACAGCCATTTGGTGTAGCAGTTAAGGTGCCTGCATCCACAGTGGAGTGCCTGGGTTTGAGTCCTGGCTCCAGCTCTGGATTCTAGCTTCCTCCTAATGCACACCCTGGGAGGCAGTGGTGATGGCTCAAGTAGTTGGATCCCCTTGGCCAGGAGCCCTGGTGGGCATTTGGAGAGTGGACCAGCAGATGGGAGTACACACTCTCTCTCTGTCTCTCAAAATAATAATAATAACCAAAAAAGCTTTTCAAAATGTTTCACAGGAGTGGGAATGTAGTCTCTTGGTTAAGACATTGGTGTTCACATTGGCGCGCCTGAGTTCAATGCCCAGCTCTAGCTCTAGCTCCTGCCAGTGTAGACCCTGGGGGCCAGCGGGGATGGCTCAATTAGGTGATGGTAATTAGGTCCCTGCTGCCCATGCGGGAGGCCTCGGTTGAGTTTTGGTCTGATGTGGGCATGAGCCAGCCGATAGGAGCTGTCAGTCACTCATTCTCGCTGTTTCTCTGACTCTCAAATAAATAAAAAGTACTAAAAATTTTTCAATTCGTTTTCCTGGTTTTAAAATAGACTACTTTTTATATGTCACAGCAAAATTAAGCAGGCTCTGACCCAGCTCCACCCATTGTGAGTGTTTAGGGAGTGAACCAGTAGATGGACGATACCCCTCTCCCTCTCTCAGCCTTTCAAATTAATATTTAAAAATCTCTTTATTTTGAGGGAGTGGGCACTGTGACGCAGTGAGTCAAGCCCCCCTCGGGCCGCCCATGTCTCCTATCAGAGGACTGCGTGGTTTTAGCTACTCAGCTTCAGATCCAGCTCCTGGGTGATAATGCACCCGGGAAGCAGCAGATGACGGCTCAAATACGTGGGCCCTGCCACCCGCGTGGGAGACCCCGGTAGAGCTCCTGGCTCCTGGCTTCGGCCTGGCCCAGCCCTGGCTGTTGAACCAGCAGATAAAAGATCTTGTCCCTCCTCTTTTCCCCTTTCTGTTACTCTGCCTTTCAAATAAATAAGTAAATCTGTAAAAAGAAATCTTTTTATTTTGAACTAATTTTAGACTTAGAGGAAAGTTTCAAAAATAGTGCAGGATGTCCTGGTGTCAGCCTGCTTCCCTCCATATTAACCAAGAGGAGGAGTTAGCGTTAGTCCGTGTCATTCACTAAATGCAGATCCTACTGATGTTTATGAATTTTTCACCTGTGTCCCTTTTTTGGCTCCAGAACCTGATCCCTGACCCCACATTGCATCTGGTTGCTGTTTCTCCTCACTCTCCAATCTGTGAGTCTCGGTCTTCTGTGACACTTTCCAAATTTGGGATATATATATATATTTTTAAGTTAGCAAGCCAGAACCATTTTTAAATGATATCAATACTAGGAGCTCTTTTTCTTTTTTAAATTTTATTTATTTATTTTCATTTTTTTATTTGGAAGGCAGAGAGAGAGAGACAGAGACAGAGACAGAAATCTTCCATCTGTTGGTTCGCCCCTCGGATGCAGGCCACAGCTGGGGATGGGCCAGGCCAAAGCCGAAACCTTGAACTCCATCTGTGTCTCCCGAGAGGGTGGCAGGGACCCAGGTACTTGGCCGTCATCTGCCGCCGCCCAGGGTAACGTTACAGGGAGCTGGACTGGCAAGCCGAGCAGACTGACATTCAGGCTGTGTAAGTGACTCCTGAAACTCAGCCTGAAGACAAGTGGCCCAGTTTTAAACATGAGCTGAAGACTAAACTGGGTACTGAAAAGTGTTTAAGATGGTAGACTTTACAGCATAGTAGGAAAAAAGATACACAGAAAGGGGCCAGCATTGTGGCATTGCAGATTAATCTCCCACTGGTGATGCCTGCATCCCGTACGGGCACTGGCTCATGCCTCAGCTGCTCCAATTCCGACCCAGCTCCCTGCTAATGACCTAGGAAAAGCAGTGCAAGATGGCCCAAGTCCTTGGGCCCCTGCACCCATGTGGGAAACCTGGATGAAGCTCCTGGCTCCTGACTTTGGGCTAGCCCAGCTCCAGCCGTTGCGGCCATCTAGGCAGTGAACCAGCGGATGGGAGACGTCTCCTCTCTCTGTAACTCTGACATTCAAAATATAAATAAGTCTTTTTTGTTTTTTAAGATACATGAATGGCCAAATGACCACATGAAAAAATGTTCAACAAGATTGATCACTGGGAAAATGCAAATGAGATTCCACTCTTTGTCTTCTAGAATGCTGTAACAGGCATTTGGCACAGTGGTTGAGACACCAGCATCCCGGATCATGGTACCTGGTTTGAGTTCCAGCTCCACTTCAGATTCCAGCTTTCTGCAGTCTGTGCCGTGGGGAGCAGAAAGAGGCAACTCAAGTACCGGAAGTCCCTGATACCCGCATGGGAAACCCACCATGGAAAAAGCCAGTTCCTGGCTCTGCTCTGCACATGTAGGGAGTGAACCTGAGATGGAGGGTCGACTGATGGATCTCTCCCTTTCTCTCTGTCTCTGCCTTTCACATAAAATGAAAATGAATTTTAAAAGTTTAAACTGATTTTTTAAAGTTCTGACATTCTAAATAGGATGCAGAAGAATGGAAACTCATTTATTGCTTGTGACACTGTACAGTGGTGCAGTGACTTTGAAAACCAGTTTGATGGTTTCATGTACATTTCAACACAAGCCTCTCCTAAGGCCTAACAATCACACTCTCCGGTATTTACCCAGAAAAACAGAAACATGCATCTATACAATAAAACCAAACACCAATGTCCTAGGCCCTTTATCAGTGACAGCCAAAAACTGGGTTGTTGTGGGGCCAGCACTGTGAAATAGCAGGTAAAGCTGCCTCCTGCAGTCCCGGCATCCCATATGGGTGCTTGTTCGAGTCCTGGCTGCTCCAGTTCTGATCCAGCTCTCTGCTATGGCCTGGGAAAGCAGCAGAAGATGGCCCAAGTCCTTGGGCCCCTGCACCTGCATGGGAGACCCAGAAGAAGCTCCTGGCTCCTGGCTTTGGATCAGCCCAGCTCCAGCTATTGCAGCCATCTGGGGAGTGAACCAGAGGATGGAAGACCTTTCTCTCTCTCTCTCTCTCTCTCTCTCCCTCCCTCCCTCTCTGTAACTCATCCTTTCAAATAAATTAATTTTTAAACAATTGGATTGTTGGTAACAATCCAAATGTCCATCCAAAGATTACATCAGCAAACTTGGTTATTCATTCAACAGACTACTACACAGCGATAGAAAGGAAGGAAATACTGATAGAGTCAACAATGAGGATGAGTTTCAAAACCATTCAGTTTAGTCAAAGGAACTACAATAAAAAAAAAAAAACTACACTGCATGAGATCAGTTATATGAAAGTTTAGGAAAGGGAAATCAGGGCTGGCACTGTGGCATAGCAGGTTAAGCCTCTGCCTATGGAACCAGCATCCCATATGGGCATAGGTTCGAGTACTGGCTGAGCCACTTCTGATCCAGCTCTCTGCTAATGCACCTGGGAAAGCAGTGGAAGATGGGCCAGATCCTTGGGCCCCTGCACGAATATGGGAGACCCAGAAGAAGCTCCGGGCTCCTGGCTTCCTTGGGATCAAAAGGCCCAGTCCTGGCTGTTGCTGTCATCTGGGGAGTGAACCAGCAGATGGAAGACCTCTTTCTATGTATCTCTGCCTTTCAAAACAATTTAAGAAAAGAAACGAGAAATCTAATTTACAGCGACAGAAAGATGAGTCATTGCCTGGGTCTAGGACTAGGGAAAAGGAACTGAGTACAGAGGGGCACAGGGCAAGTTTTTCAGGTGCTGGAAACATTGTTTTGGCATGACTGTTGGTTACGTGACTTTATAAACTCATCAAACTGCACACTTAAAATTGGTGGATTTTGGGGCCAGCGCTGTGACATAGTAGGCTAAGCCTTGACCTGCGGTGCCAGCATCCCATATGAGTACCGGTTCCTGTCCCGGCTGCTTGTCTTCCCATCAGCTCTCTGCTTTGGCCTGGGAAAGCAGCAGAAGATGGCTCAAATACTTGGGCCCCTGCACCCACATGGAGACCCAGAAGAAACTCCTGGCTCCTGGCTTTGGCCTGTCCCAGCTCCAGCAGATTGTGATCATTTGGGGAGTGAACCAGTGGATAGAAGACCTTTCTCTCTGTCTGTAACTCTGACTCTCAAATAAATAAATAAATAAATCTTTAAAAAAAAAGTCATTTAGCTATACCTTTGCTTCCTATAGCTTCTTGCAGCTTTTTTCTTTAAAGATTTATTTATTTATTTGAAAGGCAGAGTTACAGAGAGGCAGAGGGAGAGACAGAGAGAAAGGTCTTCCACCCACTGGTTCATTCCCCAAGTGGTCGAACGGTCAGAGATGCACCAATCTGAAGTCAGGAACCAGGAGCTTCTTTTGGATCTCCCATATTCGTGCAGGGGCCCAAGGACTTGGGCCATCTCCCACTGCTTTCCCAGGCCAAAGCAGAGTTGGATCAGAAGTGGAGCAGCTTGGGGCTAGCGCCGTGGCTCACTTGGTTAATCCTCCACCTGCGGCGCCGGCATCCCATATGGGCGCCGGTTCCAGTCCTGGCTGCTCCTCTTCCAGTCCAGCTCTCTGCTGTGGCCTGGAGGGCAGTGGAGGATGGCCCAAGTGCTTGGGCCCTGCACCTGCATGGGAGACCAGGAAGAAGCTCCTGGTTTCAGATTGGCATAGCACCGGCTGTAGTGGCCATTTAGGGGGTGAACTAATGGAAAAGGAAGACCTTTCTCTCTGTCTCTCTCTCTCTCAACTGTCAAACTCTGCCTGTCAAAAAATAAATAAATTAACTAATTAAAAAAAAAAAAGGAGATGCAGACAGGACCAGGGGCGGCCCTGGCTGGGGCATCGCTCTTCCTGGATCATGAACCTCTATCCTCTGCCCCTGGGGCTCCACAGCACCGGCAGCAGAGAGCCTGCTGGGCTGTGGTGCTGGCCATAGGGCCGTGCTCTCCAGGGCTTCCCCTGTGACTGCTGTGACACAGGGATTTTCATAAAGGCCCAGGGATCTCAGAAGGAACCAAAGAGCAACTCAAAGTCTTTCCAAGCCGTAGTTCACTCATTTCCAATCTGGTGAGACCCCCAGGAGTCCCTGGGGATGTGGACTTCTTAAAGTCACTGGTCCTCAACTTTGGCTGTTTCTGGAACTGCTGCCAACCCGTACCCAAAACTTACGTGTGGGAACATTGCTAACAGCTTATTTATAACAGCCAAACACGGGAACAACCTACACATTCACCAAGTTGGGACTGGGAGGCCGGTGCTGTGGCTCAATAGGCTAATCCTCCACCTTGCGGCACCAGCACAGCGGGGTCCCGGTTGCCCCTCTTCCAGGCCAGCTCTCTGCTGTGGCCAGGGAGTGCAGTGGAGGATGGCCCAAGTGCTTGGGCCCTGCACCCGCATGGGAGACCAGGAGAAGCACCTGGTTCCTGGCTTCGGATCCGCGCAGTGCTGCACCGGCTGCAGCGCGCCGGCTGTGGCAGCCATTGGAGGGTGAACCAACAGCAAAAGGAAGACCTTTCTCTCTCTGTCTCTCTCTCTCACTGTCCACTCTGCCTGTCAAAAAAAAAAAAAAAAAAGAAAAAAAAGAAAGAAAGAAAGAAAAAGAAGTGGGGACTGGGTAGACAAATTATCTTTACATGGAACGCCACTCCACAGTAACCACCTAGTGACACCCGGGCCAGGCCTAACAGTGGGGAGGGGCCGCTGGCCGGGCCCAAGCTCGCACGGTGGTGACATCGGTCCGCAGCGTACTGGGAGTGAGTGGAAGAGATCCTCCCGGGGACTGGACGCAGTGTGGTCTTGGTCTCTGTGCGAGCCAGTCCTGCAGCACCCTGGGCTGAGGGGAAGCCTTTAGGAGGGAAGAGGTTTATTTTGGCTCACAGTTTGGAGGGTCACAGTTCAGGATCAGGCAAACCCCCTAGTCTGGCCTTGGTGGAGCTTGGCAATGGGGATGCTCCACACGCAGGCCAGGGGCACACCCTGCCCTCCACACTCACCTGTCTGTCTGCTGAAAACCACCAGGATTGGATCATGGGGCCCCACCCTGACAGCCTCATCCAATCTAATCACTTCCCATGGCCCCACCCTCAGACACCATCATTCAGTTAAGTTCCATCTTAATCAACTAGCATGAGACTCTGGTGTGGGGGTCAAGACTTTATTTAGTGCATGGGGAGACATTTAAATTGTTTTCCAAACCATCACTGCCTGGATGGTAGTTAACATAGGAGCTCCAGGCTCCTGGCTTTGGCCCAGCCTTGTCTTCGCTGTTGCAGGCATATGGGGGAGTGAACCGGCCAATGGAAGATCTCTTTCTCTCTCTGTCTCACCCTCTCTGTCACTCTGCCTTTCAAGTAAATAAAATAAATCTTAAAAAAGAGAGAGAGAGACAGAAGTCTCCCATCCACTGGTTCATTCCCCAGATGCCTGCAACAGGCAGGGCCAGGCCAAAGGCAAGAGCCCAGAGCTGTCAGGGTCTCATAAGCAGACAGCGAGGACCCAACCTCTTGAGCCATGCCCTGCTGCCCCCCAGGGTACACATTAGAGGGAAGCTGGGATTGGGAACAGAGATGAACGCAAACCCAAAATGGGATACAGGTGTCTCAAGTGGCATCTTAACCATTGTGTCAAATGCCGCCCCAGGTTAAGAGCTTTTGTATGGGGGCCGGCTCTGTGCTGTAGCTGGTAAAGCCACTGCCTGCAGTGCCAGCATCCCAAATGGGCACTGGTTCAAGTCCCGGCTGCTCCTCTTCCTATCCAGCTCTCTGCTATGGTCTGGGAAAGCAGTAGAAGATGGACCAAGTCCTTGGACCCCTGCACCTGTGCCGACCTGCAGCACAATGAACTGGGTTTCCTGAAACAGAGAGTGGGAATGTGGGGACAAGGACGCAAAGAATGGAGCCAAGACAAGTCCTGATCAATGCTCCTTTATTGAACAAATCCAGTAGTATTTAAACATGACCAGTTGTTTTCAAGAAGGAGCACAGAAGATTTACATATCAAAAAGGCTTTTAAGGTTACAAAGGTTCTTAATTATTGATTACAAGGGTACAATAAAACACTTAGGTGATAAATGCAGGTTCAGGTGTGACTGATTATCTATATCATCTCTTGTGAAAGGTTTAGGTTCTTCCTGCCTCTTCCCAGAATCTCCCTAGCCTAATTGTCTGCGCCCTCAGCACCCACATGGGAGACCCGGAAGAAGATCCTGGCTCCTGGCTCCTGGCTTCAGATCACAGCCACTCCGGCCGTTGCAGCCAACTGGGGAGTGAACCAGTGGATGGAACACCTCTCTCTCTACCTCTGCCTCTCTGTAACTCTGTCTTTCAAATAAATAAATAAATCTTTAAACATATATAATCAATTAGAGTGTTGATTATTCACCAGCTGACTTCAACAGTCATTAAAATCAGAGATGTTAACGTGAAGAGATTCTCAGAGGAAAAAAGCTCACAAAACATGTCATACATAACACCTGTATATGGGCCGGCGCCGCGGCTCAATAGGCTAATCCTCCGCCTTGCGGCGCCGGCACACCGGGTTCTAGTCCCAGTCGGGGCACCGGATTCTGTCCCGGTTGCCCCTCTTCCAGGCCAGCTCTCTGCTGTGGCCCGGAAGTGCAGTGGAGGATGGCCCAAGTGCTTGGGCCCTGCACCCCGTGGGAGACCAGGAGAAGCGCCTGGCTCCTGGCTTCGGATCAGCGCAGTGTGCCGGCCGCGGCGGCCATTGGAGGGTGAACCAACGGCAAAAAGGAAGACCTTTCTCTCTGTCTCTCTCTCTCACTGTCCACTCTGCCTGTCAAAAAAAATATATTAAAATGTTAAAATTGTTTTTTCTGGCTTTTTTGGTTATTGTTACATTATTATTTTATCTTCATGTTCTCTTTCTTCCTGCTCCAAGAGTATGGAAGAGTCACCTGCAGTTAAACTATAGGGCAGGGAAAACAAACACGCTACCGGCGTCCAGTTTCAGCGGGAACACAAATAACCAGAGATTGAAAACGCAGGCGGGATCCCGACAGCGCTGTCCTCGCGCATGCGCACGAGGGCGGGCAGAGCAGCAGCGAGAGCCTCGCGTCCCTCAGGCACCGCCGAGGCCACCCCAGACAGCGCGCGGGTCCTGGCGGGGGGCGGGGCCACGCCAGCCCGGAAGAGACGCTGCGCCGCGCATGCCCCTTCCTTTCCGGCCTCGGCTCCGAACCCTACAGCCGCCGCGGTGAGTTCTGGCGGGGTTTGGTTTCCATCGGCACCCATCGGGGCCATCCTGCCGCCGAAGCGCCCCCGCTTCTGTAGGGTCGGGCGGGGGCCTTCTCTCATTCTTTCCACGCATGTATTTTTGAGCAGCGAGAGGGTCTGGGGCGCCTTTCCCTGGGTAGAGGGACGCGGGTTGGCGAAGATTGGCGTCCGGTTGACGGCAGGAGGATGAAGCTGTTGCGCGAGGGGGCCAGCCGGGCGAGGCTGGGAAGACAGCAGCCTGCCTGCACACGCTTAGCTCGGGGAAGACCCGAGTCGGCGCCGCCTGCCTGGCTGGCGCTGGAGCTCTAGTCGGGGGAGGAGTGGAGGGGCGAAGGCCTTGGCGCTTCGCCTTGGAGTCAGCAGCCTGTCGAGAAGCGACAGCTTTCTTCCCCGGAACGTGTCTGCGCGCCTTAGGGTGCAGCCGCCGATGGTCCCCAGGTACCCACAACGCAGTCTGCTGCTGCTGCTCTTCCGCATACGCCGTCGGGGGCGCGTGCAGTAGTTTTTCGATCTGCACGTTTCTGGGGGTGCCCAGTGGTTTGGCGGGGTCGTTGTGAGGCCCGTGAACTTGGCCATTTTCCTTTCTGCAGATGTTGATGCCCAAGAAGAATCGCATTGCCATTTACGAACTCCTCTTCAAGGAGGGGGTGATGGTAGCCAAAAAGGACGTGCACATGCCGAAGCACCCGGAGCTGGCGGACAAGAACGTGCCCAACCTCCACGTCATGAAGGCCATGCAGGTGTGTGTGGGGCTGGGAGTGGGGTTTTGGGTCATCATCAAGGCCGACTAAACGTGTTTGCCTCTCGTTTTGACCCCCAGGCT